TCTGTAAAAAAAAACGATAAAATATATTATTAAAAAAGACCAATGAGGCTTTGCGTGGGATGTCTAAGTATCAGAAACAGTAGTGTATCTTTAATTTTGAGAGGGAAATTGCATTAATGTAGAGAGATGCAGACATTCCCAGGAAGAACAAATGTAGGAGGTTAATAGGGTGTGCACAGAGTCCAGAAGGCCAGTAGACACTTGATTTTAAATTTTGTGGTCATCCACCAAAAAACTGCAATATACTCTAGACTATAAATCTCCACAAAGAGAAGTTTGGTTGGGCACTGCAAAATGATGGCGCTGGCTTTGTTTTGTTCCAATGACTTCTGTTTTGATCAATGATCCTATCATTGATGTCTCTATCCCTCTCTCCCTTTCTCTGTGAAATCAATAAAAATATTTTTTTAAAAGATTATATGTCAAATAAGTAATAATGACAATATATGTAGCTCTGAAATGGAAGAAGTCAGGCGAAAGACTATACCATACCTCCCCCCAAAAATGGGAAGAATTTGGACTAGGCAATATTGGAGAACTTAACATCAACAAGAAGAGTGATTAGAAAAAGAAACTATGTGGAATTCAGAAACACTAAAGTTCTAATTGTGTTACTTTATGTGGCTTAAACAGGTTTTCAAGTTGTCAAGCAAACAGAATTCCAGTAAACGCAGGAGAGACCAAATATTAATTTCTCTAACTTCCACAAGTTAAATATGTCACAAAGTTTCAATAACTAACCTTCTAGGGATGGTTGTACTCTATCTGGAGTGCATTTATAATCGCTTTTACAAATACTTATGATAGTAAACTTAAGGGAAAATCTTACCACCTCAGGAAAAGATGGCTGACCCAATGCCCTTCAACCATTATACTAATAGCTCTTCTAAAAACAAAAAAAGAATGGAAACATTGAGATTAAACAGGTGAGTTTTATTATCAAATGTAAGTATTCTACAAAAACTCAGTAGCATTGTAATATTACTTGCCTATCAAAGTCTTTCAGAACTTTGGACAGACAGCATCTTAAGGCATCAAGTATAAAGACCTTTTTTTCTGATCTTAAGTGCCAGTTATCACCAATATTCACACAAAATGGTTTTTGTTTTTTATTTCTTATTTTTTATTTTCTTACTGCAGTTAAAGGGCTAATCCTGTCCAGCTGTAGAGGGGATGTTTGGTTCTGTAAGCGTTAGTCAACGTAATGCAAAGTAAATAACAATTAGCAGCCACGAGAATCTGCATGGCGTTGCATTCAAGCAAAGGACAATGTGAGTAACTTAAAGAAATGTGCACTGAGTTAATCAAATCCTGTTTTCCTCTTTGGAGTTCCACGAGGCAGCAGTACTAGCTAGCTAGTGTCTAATATTGCACTTTTGTAGCTAGCATAAACACAGCTAAACACTGACAGCATCAGTACCTGCTCTAATCACACCAGTGTTTACCTCTCAGTCTAGCATGCTGACTATAATAATCCTAGGCTTTAAAAGTTTTATTATTTGACAGTTAAGGCAATAGAGAAGGTTTAAGGCTATCTTAATATATACACAAGCATTCACTTCAGTTAGTACATTGCTTTCCAGAACACACAGTCCAAATATTCTCGTTTTTGTCATATTTAAAACTATGGAATTACTCTTATTCAAGTCCAGGCCATTAGTAATGAGAAAAGTACAGTATAAAATAATACATAGAAAGCCACATTGTTCAGTTACAGATCAAACTAGAATTATAAACTACATGTAGCTGCTTCATTTTTGGTTTCGCATTTTGGCCCCTAGAGTTCATTCTTATTTACATCTGATATCTGCTGGGGGGAAAAGATCCAACTTTTAAACTATGTATGTTTTGTGGTGGATGCGCCATTTCTAATTTTTCCCCCAAGGTATTTAAAATATGTTTTCATTGTGTGTGTTTTTTAACTATGTCATGATGGTAAAGAAACTAAGAAAATATTAGTTTTATTTCTAAGTTTGTGACTTAAGTATTCCAAGACCTTTTTCTTGAATTACTTCATAAGAGGACATAACTGGGTAGCAAGTAGGGAGATGAAGAGAAGAGTGTGAACACACAAAAATGAAGTTTCCATAACAGAGTTTTTGGTGGAGATAGTAGACATGTAAGTGGAGTATTTTTCCTCCCAAGACGTAAAACTTAAGGAACACCTATGATGCCACATTGGCTGGAAGTAATGGAGACATCCAATTTCCATTTCACATTTTAAATGCAATCAGCAAGGAGCCAGGCATTCTGCTTCCAGAAGGATTTGGCTTCACTGGCTCACATTTTCCACTCCACCAATAGACAGGGCACAGGCCCACTGTCCAATCATGTTTGCTGAAAATACTGCAGCCTGCGTGTAGACAAGCTTCCCCTGAAGTTGCTTGAAGTCGATGAGGTGTCTGATGATTTCAGGATCACCATACATCTTTCAAACACTGAGGTGGGGAAATGAATAAAAGGAAGTATTATAGTCTCTAAAATTTTAAATTCTTAGCAGCCATAAAAATGTAATAATTTTCAATTTTAAAAGCTCTAAAAAAGCCTTAAGGTAGTTCACATAGTTGACATTTATACAGCAAATTCTTGGCGAGTACAGCATAGGCAAATGAAAGTTATGCAATAATTTGAATTTCAACAATTACCTACCCTTTGTATTATCATGCATAGAGTACTGTTATGTTTCCATTTCCCTACTTGACTCAACTCCTTTGTGAAGAGACTATTCTATTCATTCCTTAGCCCCAAGTTATGATGGCATCTCTCTGATTTTAGACATTAATATCATTATTAAAAGAAATAAAACCATTAATTTCAAACAAAAATATCTGAATCAATAAGAAGCACGGAAGCATGACACCGCAGCAAACATGAGCTCTACATGCCAAAGACTAGCATGTAGTTGACTAGGAACCTTTAGTTTGGTTATTTCACCCTCACAACTACCCTTTTAGATTACTATGTTTTCCCTATTTCACAGATGAGAAAATTGAGGCACAGAGCAATTAATCCTACAGATGCTGAATAACTGGCAGATTCAAAATCCGAAAACAGTATTGGTTCCACTGTGCTATTTCAGTTATACACCACACAGAAACTTTAAAATAAAAGCACTGTGTGGCTGGTGTGGCTCAGCTGGTGAGAACATCCTCCTCTATACCAAAAGTCTATTTAGAACATTTCTAATGTAATATCAAAAAGTTCCTTTTATAATCATTTCTTATTTAATATACTCATTTTACAAGATATTAGACTTACCAAATTCATAGACAGCATTAAGGGCTTGAATTAAGAACATTTGGAAAGACAAAGTATGAACCAAAATGAGTAGCAACAGGCTAGACGAATGGGTTCCTATTTTCACACTAGAAAATCCTCCATAGTCCCACTGCTAAGCATTTGGGCATGATGCTTTCTGGAACCTCACTGAAAATGGCAGAGAATCCATCACTTCCAACTCAGAACTGGAGTCTCTACAACTTCAGAATGAGAGTATAAGCCCCCAATTGTGATTTCTCAAGGACAACAGTTTATTGGCAACCCCAATTTCAATTTAGAATCCATATGGTTGAAGCCCACAGGGTCCTCAACCATGAAAATGTTGACAAAATTTGAAAACAACATGTCAGCAAGCCAATTTCAGCAAACCTAATGATAAAAAAGAAATAAACCACCCCAATGCCTGAGCATATTCCTACAACTCCACTTCTTCAGGAGCCTCACCCAGAATGTATCACCCTTCAAGAAAAAGCTATCTATTCATAGAAAACAAACAAACAAAAAATCCCAATTAATTCCGAAGAAACTTTATCAGGGTTCCTTCCCTCTAGATTTAGTTTTAGAAGAGGAGAAAAGATGTGCAACAAAAACCTTGCAATCACGTTGGAATAAATCACATTTAAATTATACCTAGATGAACCTTAAAATATTATGCTAAGTGAAAAGCAAGTTATGAAAGGACAGATATTGTGTCATTCCACTTATGAAGTAACCAAAACAGTCTATTGCATTAAAATAGAAAGAATGGGAGAAGCCAGGGGCTGGGGAAAGAGAAATGGGAATTTATTATTTAATGTAAACAGAGTTGGAGAAAAGAAAAAAGTTAGGGGTTAGATACCGTTTCCCCGAAAATAAGACAGTGTCTTATATTAATTTTTTCTCCCAAAGTTGCGCTAGGTCTTATTTTCAGGGGATGTCTTATCTTTCCATGTGCTAGGTCTCATTTTCGGAGGATGTCTTATTTTCGGGGAAAGACGGTAGTATCGAGGTTTACTCAACAATGTGAAATGCACTTAAATGCCACAGAACTATAAACTTTAAAAATGGTAAACTTTATGTTATAATTTACCACTTAATAGAATGACTCAACGATTCTACTCGTAGACACATATGTCCCAAAAGGACAAACAAATACTTAAATACGTGTACATAAATGCTAGAAAAAGTGCTAGTATGCACAACAGCCAGAAAATGGAAACAGCACAAATGTCCATCAGTGGATAAATGCATAAACAAAATGTGTTATATCTGTACAATGAAGTATTATTCAGCCACAGAAAGGAATAAAGTAATGATACATGCGACAACATAGATGAACCTCGAAAACATGTGACGTGGAAGAAGCCAGGTCCAAAAGGTCACATATGATTCCACCTATACGAAAGACCCAGAATAGGCAAATGCTAGCCAACAGTCCACGTGAGATATAGCAAGAGAATTTCCCAATGGGAAGATTTCCCCTTATCCCAAGTAACCTACTGTTATCCACAAGTGTTGCTTAGATACCACCTACTGAGATGACAATCTTAACTGTGGTCTCCATCCCTTCCCGTGTTTCTGACTCATTTCCATCACACTAGGGGAAAGAGGAAACTTCTCACCTGATTCCTAAGAAAACAAATTCCGATTCTTGACCTCTGTTTGTTTAGCGCTTTATAATTTACCTTTCATATCACAGAGCCTTACCTTCTTTTCTGAGGGTGGTCTAACTGCTGGGACCCTTAAATACAAACCCATTCTTTGGGTAGAGTCCTGGCCTGGTCATTTGTGTGTACAAGTCCATCCTCGGTTGCATACTAAAATGCAAGTTAAAACAAACAGGATCAAAAGATGGACACACTGTCACTACGAATGGTTAGTATTTTAACTGAAGAGATCCACCAACCGAATTATTGGGCATTTAGACGACAAGAAAACAAGTTAAAACTGGTACAGCATAGACATAACTGTTAATCCCAAGTCTTCATTTGTTACTTAAACATGTCTGAATACCTTAAAATTCCCTTCTGGGAGGGAAGTTTGATTGAACACACAGATTAAACACACACACACCACCACCGCCGCCACCACCACCGCACAGTAAACATCACCAAATACTTCACGCCTGCTAACAGTACAGTTTCCATGATACCACAGGTAAGACTCGATAGCAAATATTTGAGCACTAACTATTTGCAACATATTCTAAAATAAACCAAACGTGTCCTAACAACCCTGTCTACTTTAAATAGTATTCGATGTATTTGTAATACTGCTCTAATCTCTCAGTAAGACAGCAAGTAAAAATCTTAGCAGTGAAAGGCCCAAAGAGATCATGAATAAAGTCTAGCACTTGCTGGAAAAGCAAAATCATCGACAGTAAAAGATAATGCAAAGAGCAAATGAAAAACTTAAAAGGAATTAATATAAGATTTCTCAAGAGTCCATTCAGAACAATAGACCCAGCAACTAAAATATAAATACAGGCTTGTTTTCATTGTCAGAATGACATTCTCATCATCAAATGTTTTATTGGTGGTTTATCTTCATAAACGCAGTCCTCATTCTATTAATCTCATTCCTCAGAATGGACCTAACTCTGGAACTTTATAAGACTCAAATTCCATAACAGAACCCACGCCCTGCATCTTGCTGAGGCCATCAGAATCCTGTCTTTTGTGGAAACCTTGCCCTTTCCAGCCTTACATTCCCCCTCCCCCTTAATGAAGTATAGAAAAGTTGTAGTAGTTTTATAGAAGGAATTTTGCTGAATGGGGGAAACATAATTCAAAAACTGTATTTAAAAATAACATATGTATAGAGAATGATATATGCCATTATTATATCAAGACATACGTATTTTCAAAAACATATATTTTAAATATATTTTTATTTCAGAGAGGAAGAAAGAGGGAAAAAAGAAGAGGGAGGGAGGCAGGAAGAAAGGGAGAAATATTAATGATGAGAATCACTGATCAGCTGCCTCCTGAACGTTCCCTCCTGGGGATCAAGCCCACAACCTGGGCATGTGCCCTTGGCCGGAATCAAACCTGGGACCCTTCCGTATCCAGGCGGGCACTCTGTCCACTGAGAAACACAGGCCAGGGCTCAAATATATTTTTACTGATTTTAGAGAGGAAGGGAGCAAAATAGAAACATCAATGAGAGAGAAAGATTGATCAGCTGCCTCCTGCACAGACCCCACTGGGGATTGAGCCCAAAACCGAAACCCAGGCATGTGCCTGGGCTGGGAATCAAACCAGAGATCTCTTGGTTCATGGGTCGACAACTCAACCACTAAGCCACACCGGCTGGGCAAGATATCGATATATGATTTTTTTATTTTATTATTTTTTAAATATATTTTTATTAATTTTTTACAGAGAGGAAGGGAAAGAGATAGAGCTAGAAACGTCAAAGAGAGAGAAACATCCACCAGCTGCCTCTTGCACACCCCCTACCGGGGATGTGCCCGCAACCAACGTACATGGCCTTGACCGGAATCGAACCTGGGACCTTTCAGTCCGCAGACCGACGCTCTACCACTGAGCCAAACCGGTTTCGGCAGATATATGATTTTTTTAAAGCCAAAATCAAGCTATGGAGAGATTTCATTCTCTCAACCAATTATTATCAAGTATTTACTTAATATAAGTAAATTATATAATTATATATAATAAATGCTAACTAACCAGAAATCAAATGAATAACTATTAAATCAGCAACCAGCAAGAAATACACTGTAATTAAAGATAAAATAAGTTATCCTCTGATTGATTGGTCTTGTGACAAAATGGTATCTAAAGAATCTGAAATCCACCGAAACCGGTTTGGCTCAATGGATAGAGTGTCGGCTTGGGGACTGAAAGGTCCCAGGTTCGATTCTGGTCGAGGGCATGTATCTTGGTTGCGGACACATCCCCAGTGGGGGGTGTGCAAGAGGCAGCTGATCGATGTTTCTCTCTCATCAATGTTTCTAACTCTATCCCTCTCCCTTCCTCTCTGTAAAAAAATCAATAAAATACATTAAAAAAAAAAAAAAAAAAAAAGAGTCTGAAATCCCCCAGCTAGTGGCTATTACTTTCTTTCTTAGGATCTATCTCTTTTATGGACGGCCTTCGCAGGAGGGTGGAATCGCTGAGAGGATATGCGATCCTATGCACTCAGCCCGGCCCGACCTCCCAAGCTTCACAGCTGCTGAAAAGCATGGCTGTTATTTTCTGTTCTTAATTGAGATAAAAATAATTTATTTTAAAAAATTATGAAGTCTAAGAGAAAGTAGAAAATAGGAGCTTTTATGTGAGAGTGATAAGAACTTAGGTTAGATAGAAAAGATTTTGAAGGATGCATTGAAACTATCTTAGAACTCAAATTACTAAAGAAAGACACTGCAATAATTTGACATACTGAATTGAAAAATCGAGGTCCTTGCATACTCCTCATTCATTAGGCCAGATCATAAATTCCAGGCACTTCACAAATGAAGGCCAAAATGCCTAAAGATGAATTCATTTTGCGCAACCTTTCTGCTTTTGATATCAGATAACTTTACCCCAATCTTGATGACAAACTGCTGAAGACTGAATTTATTTTATCACAACTCAGAAGCACACCAGTATTTCAGCCACAAATCTAGAAATGATTATTACTTATTTGTGGTGGAATAAATACCCACAAAAGCCAGCCAGAGGACTCTTCAAAATAGCAGCAATTTTGCTTAATCTCATAACCAACGTATGTGTATGACTGCTTAATTCTATTCAGTGTGAATGTAAAAAGTTGATCAGCCAAAATAACAAATTAATTCAGCTGACTACTAAAACCTAAAACTTTACCCGAAGCTTGTTACTTTCTAGAATTGAAAAATAATGGGGGGGAAATACAAAACTCAAATGTTTACTCCATGAGATTAAGCAAAAAATATATATATATTTTTATCTGAGGATTTTCCATTGCTTTTAGATGGAATGGAAGGGGATGGGAAAAGAAAAAGGGAGAGAGACACATGGATTGGTTGCCTCCCCCATGCACCTTGACTTGAGGCCTGGGAACAAATCTGCAACCCAGGTACTTGCCCTTGACTGGAAAACGATCCCGAGACCTTTTGGTGTGTGGGCTGAAGCTCTAACCACTGAAAACCACCAGCCAGGGCTAAGCAACCTTTGTAATAACCTTTGATAAAGCCGAGACTGGTTTGGCTCAATGGATAGAGCGTCGGTTTGGGAACTGAAGGACCTGGGTTCGATTCCGGTCAAGGGCACGTACCTTGGTTGCGGGCATATCCCCAGTAGGGGGTGTGCAAGAGGCAGCTAATCGATGACTCTCTCTCATCGATGTTTCTAACTCTCTATCTCTCTCCCTTCCTCTCTGTACAAAATCAATAAAATATATATTTAAAAAAATAATAACCTTTGATAAAATTCTCTATTCTTTTCATAACCTAATGAATCAGATATGAAATTCAGAAAGTAACTTTTAAACATCAGTTTAATGATGACAGAGAATCATTGATCGGCTGCCTCCTGCAAGCCCTCCTACAGGGGACTGATCCCTGACCTCCTGGCTCATAGGTTGTCATAGGTTGAAGCTCTACTACTGACTCATCTCTGCTAGGGCTTCTTCTGTTAGGCAGCTTCATTGTTTAGGGGGAAAAGCAAAGTATCTACTGCTATCTGACACACACCCCCCCCGCCCCCAATATTAGTTGAGTTCTACAATCTTCCATGATTCATGGACACCAAGCATGTGTCCATTCTACTAGTGAAAACAGCCTCTGCAGGCACAACCCATAAAATGCCATATGATAAATGATCAAGAGCTATTTTAGGATTTGACAATCATGCCTATAAAGGCTTCCCAACTCTAAAGACTGAAGTTCAACTTCAAGAAGAAAGACAATTTTTGCTCTTAATGCAATTAAAAGGCCGTCTGATAATGATTTTTAACTACTGCAAGAAAGAAAAGTTCACTTCTAAGTATTATGTGACTTAAGGAAAGATATCTGCTCAGATGAGATGGCAATGAGGGGATTTTCTCAATGTTAAAGAGATCTTACCAAGAAAAAGCTCAATCTTTAGGTGAAGTTGGAAAACAACGATGGACACAGGCCGTGGTAGAGTGACGAGAGTAATACCAGTTTCACAAGAATTAATTGCGGATGATTACACAAAAGGCTCAATGAATATCCTATAGCTCATTTTAGGGGGTTCTTAACTAAAGATTCATTGAGCTTCCTTTGTTGTTGTCTTTTCAGGATAGGCATAGAGCCCTCTGACAACTTTGTAAATATTCAATTTCAACACCACGTTTAAATTTTTGTTTGTTTGTTTGTTTGTTTTTTTGTTAGTCAAGAATTTGACTCCGGCCCCACCAGGTGGCCAGCTGGTGACAGTGTCTTCCTGTACACCAAAAGGTTGCAGGTTCAATCCCCAGAAGGAGGAACAGATTCAAGATTCTCTCTGTCCTCTCTCTCCAATAAAAACAAAGAAATGAACAAATAAAGAACAGATATATCCTCAGGTGAGGATTAAAAAAAAAAAAAAAAAAAGAATTTGACTTCAAGGAAAACTCTTTAGTCAGTCCTTTGCCAAAACCGGTTTGGCTCAGTGGATAGAGCGTCGGCCTGTGGACTGAAGGATCCCAGTTCGATTCTGGCCAGGGCATGTACCTTGATTGCGGGCACATCCCCAATGAGGGGTGTGCAAGAGGCAGCTGATCGATGATTCTCTCTCATCGAGTTTCTAACTCTCTATCCCTCTCTCTTCCTCTCTGTAAAATATCAATAAAATATATTAAAAAAAAAAAAAAAAGGCAGTCCTATTCTAGATGGATAGAACCACGCTGCTTATGTGCCAAAAAAGCACCAACAGATTAAATAGAATAAACATAGCCCTCATCTTGTCAAAGGGATGAGCTTGTAGTCAGCACTCACACTGGTCCTCCTGACTGACTGACCGACTTGGGTGTGTTTTGCCTCCATCAGCAATCGAATAGCACTTGTACACACATGAATTTTCGAGAACAGGTCTCTTTCCTCGCTGCATTCTTTAGGCAAATCAACTCAAGTATCAAGGGCACTGAATAGTTTTCTTCTTCAAGCTACTGACCTGGTAACCTTGGAAGAAGTTAAGAATTTCCTTAACTCCAGTATTGTAGGCCAGGCCCTGCATTCTGACCACCGTGCCAGGCTGTGCTGGGACACCGCTAAGATTAGCAGCTGTAGGGAAGTAGCCAAGATTATTGGGCGAACCTGGGGGGCTAAAGGAAGAGAAAGTACAGTGAACCAATAGGAATAGACAACGTCGAATATTTACCCCAAAAACATTAGTTACGTAAAGGTAACAGGCTCTCCCAAGGTGATCTCAGAATCACCCGAGCTCTCTCCCCCAAGCCAGGTAAGAACACCGTATTTCCAGAAAAGCCTAGAGGTAAAAGGTAGAGGGTTAGTGCAGAGAGTTCAGTGCAGGGCTTCCTCAGACTCAGTTCTCGCTGAGATTCTTAAAGGCACAGGCAGGAGAGAAGTAAGCCTGTAAGGTCACTCAAGCACAAAGCACCACCTCCACAACCCCGCTCACTGATGATTAACTGGCTCGTCGTCAGGAATACGAAGGCATAAATATGCAGGACCAACAGGAGCCACAGCCACAGCCACAGCCACCGAAAGAAAGCACTTGAAGTGATTTTCCCAAGGAACAGACCGTTTTACCCTACACACAAGCAAAGGTGCAGCATAGGAAGTGAGCAGACACACAAAAATACTACAGCACTTCTGAGACATCCCTTCCCACTTGACTGAAAAGCAGGAGGAGGAGGTGGCAGGTGAACTGGAAAAGATTGCCAGCAAAGGAAAGTCAATCACCATGAGCACAACAGGAGAGCTGGCGCACCAGTCCCTCCGGCTATACTTTCTGCCGGCACCCCACGGAGCGCAGACCAGTGAACACCTCATTCTTTAGACGGCCACTTAAGTAACTGCCGTATCATCAAGTAAGTTCATCCGATTCACCACCCAATCGGTTTTCCACCACAGTCAGTGGCCATTGGGGAAATTTTTAAATAAGTTAATAGCTTAAAGACCCACCGTTTATGATTATTAACCTTTATAAATCTTTCTAAGGAGTTGATTATCCCATTTCAAAGACAAGCAAACCCAAAAATGAAAGGGACTAAAAATCTGTAGCCTACATGATCCTAACTGATGATCAATAGGAATGATGTCAGATGTGCATCTGGCTCCAGACCCCGTTTTCCTATTGGCGCAGTAGCCCTGAGCAAGTCACTTGACTTCTTTAAACGTCAATTAAATCAGTTGGTAAATGGGGATGACGGCACCTCCTGAGTTCCATAGACTCCTTTTGCAGATTCGGTGATCGAACATACCAAGTTATTCCGTAAACCATAAGATGCAATAATTTGTTATTTCACCTTTGCTATTTCCATAACCATCGTTCTATTTCACGATCTTGAAAATATGGGAGAGGCCGAAAGTAGTACTGGACATCAAGCTGCCTGTACCAGCTCCAGTGTCTGAAGCAGTGATCCTCAACTTGTCTGCCTATTGGAGTCACCTGGAGACACTGCTCCACAGGTGACTTTTACCAAACACTGAAAAAAAGAATACATATTTTTTGCCAGCGTGGCTCCGTGGTTGAGTGTCCACCTTTAAACCAGGAGGTCACGGTTTGATTCTCAGTCAGAAAACATGTGTGGGTTGCAAGCTCGATCCTAGTGGGTAGCGTGCAGGAGGCAACCAAACAATGATTCTCTCTCATCACTGAAAGTCTCTCTCACTCTCCCTCCCTCTCCCTTCCTCTCTCTGAAATCAATAAAAACAAAACAAAACAGCAAAAACACATATAAGAGTTGTCCATTAAAGCCAGACTATACCAGAAGCTCATCCTAATCTTTTTTTTTTTTTTTTTTTAACATGGAGGGAGTTTTTTAATGTGTTTCCAAAAAGTGAAAGCAATTTAGGCATATGATAGAAAAAAATCATAAGACAGCGATAAACTGAGAAAAAATATATATTTTCACCAAAGACAGATTGATTTACTTAATATATAAAGAACTATGAATTAAGAACAAAGTCAGTCATTCCATTGAAAAACAGGCAAAGGGTTTGATCATGAATAAGAAAATAATGCGTTTCTTAAATGCATCCTAATCTTTATGCTCAATTGTTAGTCACTGTTTTTGGTTCTTGCTTACATCCATTGTCTTTTTAGTTAGGTCTCAGATTCTCAAGTGTCAATATTTATCAGTGCCTCTCGTGCAGTGTCAATAATGTAACTTCCACAAGTCAATATAGCAATGAATTCAAAGGCCTCGCGTGCTGGAAGATCACACCGCATCGTGTAAATTAACCAGGGCACTGCCCTTGAGCGGGTAGAAAACCTTGTTGAGCTGCCTGAACAAAGAACTGAGGTGGGGTGAGAGGAAATGAAGCGAAAACAGCAGGCGAGGGGCTTTACCAAAGGTTTGCGTCGGGAGCACCATGGAGCATTGCTGCCGTACAGACAGTCCTTATGACCGTGGCTGAGGCTCCTTCACAAGCCACACGTGTTAAGAAATCACTGAATTTAACGCACAAAGGCATGTATCATAAAGTTGTCCCAGATTTCCTCCTCTGCAGTATTCCATGTCCTTTATACATATTTAGGCAAAAAAAAAAAAAATTTTTTTTGATCCCCCTAAAGTAGAGAAAAACTGTTTCCTTTAAAGTTTTGAAATTCTAATTTAGTTGCTTGAGAGTCTACTGTGAGACCATTCAATCATGCTTCCCATCCTACATTTTCCCAGATACTAATTTATATAACTTAATTTCATAATGTTCAATGTATCCTAATGAGTCATTCAAAATTCTTTGAATTGAGGGCCAGGATTCCAAGACACTTACACACTCTAAGAAAAAGAAGGGTATGTCACATACCCTTTATTCATTTATTTAATACTAGAGGCCTGGTGCACAAATTCGTGCACAGGTGGGGTCCCTCTGGTTGGCCTGCAGCTCTGACCTGCTGCTCCCACTCATCCTGACTCCACCATGCCTGTAGCAGGCTCACACCCAAATCAATCCAGATCAGGAGAAACTCCTTGCCAGCCATGAGCCCAAGGGGAGTGGCCTACGGACTGGGCTAAAACCCGCACTGGGACATCCCCCAAGGGGTTCTGGATTGCAAGAGGTCAGGCTGAGGGACCCCACCAGTGCATGATCGGGCAGGAGAAGGACCACTGAAGGGCTCTAGGGCGTGTCGAGCCCATCTTGCTCAGTCCCTATTGGCTGGACCCCAGCAACAAGCTAACCTAACTGGTCAGAGCATCAATCCTGGTGGTCAGTAAACATCATAGTGACTGGTCGACTGTCTGCCCCCTACTGGTCAGTGCACGTCATAGCAAGCAGTTAAGCAGCCTTAGCATGTCATTAGCATATTACACTTTAGTTGTTCTGATGTTTGGTCTATTTGCATATTACCCTTTTATTATATAGGATTACAAATTACTAAACATTGGTGACACTGATTAATGTTATCGGGTGGCATTCTAAAATGTAAAGTCATAGTATGACAGTATTTATCATTTGAGGACTTGCCATATTTCTCTAGAGAAGAGAGGATCACAACGTTATCTATCAGATAAAGAAATAGGTTAAGTAAAAAGATTAGAGAACTAAATTCTGACCTCCGGATGTGCGTAACACATCGGCTTAGGAAACACGAGAAGTCCTGCCGAAAGCACCTGGTTCCCACTGCCTTACAAAATTACTACACAGATCCTCGTGGATTAAGATTCGTTAAATCCCCGAGGGTTATAGAGACCTTTTAGGTGGAAAATGACTGTTTTCATATAGGAAAATAAAAAAAAAATTATAATTTTTTTTCCAGATAGGAAGGGAGGAGAGAGAGAGAGAGAGAGGGGGAGGGGAGAGAGAGAGAGAGAGAGGGAGGAGAGAGAGAGAGAGAGAGAGAGAGAGAGAGAGAGAGAGAGAGAGAGAGAGAGAGAGAGAGATGGAAACATCAAGTGGAATGAATATTGATTGGCTGCCTCTGGCACGTCCCCCACTGGGGATCAAGCCTGCAACCCGGGCATGTGCCCTGACTGGAATTGAGTCGTGATCTCCTGATTCACAGATAAGACGCTCAAACACTGAGCTATACAGGCGGGGTGTTATAAAAAAATTTTTCGAACTAACTCTAAATTTTTATCTGAAATCAAACATTTCAGCAAGGTTAACTTTTCAGCACTCTTTGGAAATTTAATTCCCTGACTTCTCGTGGATATAACTGGATACTAAAATAAAATAAAAAAGACAGATTAGCAGGAGAAAAACAAAAGCTTAATGACATGTATACTTTCTGGAAGCATAGAAGAGATTTAGGAGATCTGAATAACTCCCCAGAATGGCTGAGCCACCAACCTAAGTATCACATGGGGGGGGGGGGGAGGAGTAGGTTACCAGGAAAAGCAAAATAAACAAGGTTAAGCTTGTCCTGCAGTTTTAAGATTGTTGTATTCAGCACCAAGAGTTTCTTGTCATAAAAATCATTCCCTTCTTCACAAGAAGGGATCTTCTTACTAAGAGAGATTTTCCTAACAATCATAAATAGCTTTTACAAAGAGTAACTTCACCTTGGTTTTCAGAGCATCTCCCTGTGTGCAATTTTTTTTTTTAAACAAACAAACAAAAACACACACACACACACACAAAAAAAAAACCAATTAGCAATAATCACGCCACGGATAAACCTCATTGGCTACGACACTGCCACTGCACAAAGCTTGCGTGCTGTTTCTCACTCAGCCTACACGAATCCTAATGCAGAAGACGCATTTTGGGGTAACGTTCGGTTCTCACGCAGCGCCTATGCTGCACACCTGTGTAGGTGGTTACTGTGCTAAATACTATCAGGGGTGAGGAATCGTTTTTTCTGCCAAGGGACATTTGCATACGTATAACATCATTTGAAGGCCATACAACAGAACTTAAAAACTGGCCTGCTCTGTTTGCTCAAAGGTTTAATTAACTTACCCCTAATGCCTTGGCGGGGCCACGCGGAATGATTTCCTGGTCCTTGTATGGGCCCACGGGCTGGATGTCCCCCACCCCTGCTGTAGACAAGTGTAGCAGCATGACAAGTATTTGCAATGAGGTTATGATGGATGTGAGAAGGTATTGGGAAATGTTCAGCTCTCTTATAACTTGTGGAACCACCTCTCTATATGCAATCCATCACTGCCACTTCTCACTGAAGCATCCTTAT